CAGACGGGCAACCAGAAATGCACGGGCATTACAGTAGTCTAGTCTGGTAGTTACGAAGGCATGTATTAATTTTTCTGCATCACGTGGTGAGAGCTTATTACGAAGCTTGGCTACGTAGATGATAAAACGCAGTTCTAGTAATACTTCTTATGTGAGCATCAAAACATAGATCTGAATCTACTAGAAGACCAAGATTTCTAACCACTGTGTTAGGTTGTGTAGGAAGGCCACTAATGCTGAGGTGGTGAAACATTTCTTGCAGCCTTGGGACCAATCACCAGTACTCCTGTTTTTTCTGTGTTTAACATTAGGAATTTTTTTTAACACTGAATGGCGTGGGCCCATATAAACACCATGCAGTGTTAATTTAACACTGGCACATTTGCTGTGTAACATGTATTAGAACAATTTTACCCAGAGCAGCTATGGTCTGCTAGCGCGGTGCTATGCTAACTGACGTGAATCGTGGTCCTGCCATTTTTCATTAAACTCCACAGCTAAATTACTTGAACAGAAGACACTCGTTACAATTTGACAATTATTATCTTCGGGGAAGCATGGCAAGAGAGCATAAGACAAGGGGTTTTCTAGTTGCACTTTACAAATGCAGTACTACTTAGATACTATATAGATATAGTACTGTATATAGTATTGTGCTGTACGATATAGAAGTATTGAATTAGATTGACTGTACTCTCATTTTAACCCTGCTGATCATACACATATATAATGCACACAATTACATTCTGTCACGCCCGGCTCCGTACGACCCTTGTGTGTGCCACGCCCCCTCATTACCTCGTGTCAATTCCTGGTTGTGATCACCTGTGTCCTGTTATTTCTGGATAGTCTTTTGTATTTAGTCCGAGTCTCAGTCTGTCTTCCCCAGATCCGTCATTGTAGTGTCATGCGTTGTTCCTGGTTGGTTAGTCCTGTCTTCTGATTAAATCCCCGTCTTGCCCTACCTACTGGCTCCTCTCCCCTGCTTTCCGGCTCGCTTGTCCCGCACCCTGACACATTCCACTATTCAAATTGTTTTCTACTTGACTGATTTTGCAACATTTGCACAAATTCTGGATGTCTAAAATACCCATTGTAAGCTTTTTGTGTTTAGAGTTGATATTTGTAATTTATTCATAAAAAGTCTTGTACTCTGTAATAACTGGAACCATGTGTTCTGGTCTCATATATAGCTGAGATGACTAAAGTTTATTTTCACTTTGACAGACTTATTAGATTAAACTTCAGAAATACTTTTTACAGTTGCTTAAAAATCTTGCATGTTTAAAAGGTTTGCACAATTATATTTTCTTCTTATTTTTTTCTGTTTGCAGATGTCACTATCACGTTTCAGACGAGCAGGCAGACAGAGGAGTGGAGCCATAAATACAGGCAAACGGGGTTTATTAATGGCAGACAAGGAAACACGGCACAAAACATCAATGACAGATCTGGGAAATGGATGAAGACGTGTACTGATATACACTAAACAAGCCGAAAATAACATGAAACAGCTGGGAACAATCAGGGTAGTACATGTGCGTAATGAGGGGGTGTGGCACGCACGAGGATTGGACGCGCAGGTCATGACAGCAGAGATCAGAAAATTACTTTCACAGCTCTTTCAAAAAGTTTTTATTTACGTACATAACGCAGGCCCGCGTTTAGCAGTGTGTACTCCAGGCCCCACGTGAAAGGTTTGTGGTTCCTTCTAGAATTTGTGGTTTTTGTTTTCAGGGGATTGTGATGTCTTCCCCCCGACTAGTAATTCAAATAATATTGTTTTGATATGAATTGATTTTTGTATTCGTTTGTTATTTAGGAGGAACCACATGTTAATCTGTATTCCTGGCCCCTTGTTACAGATGTGAGCTGTCCAGGGCCTTTTATTTTACATGTGTGAGCTTTGGAAGTGTGTGTTAGCTGACTGTGAAATATTCTAACCAGTGTTTTAGAGACTGCTGTCTTTAGATCATTGTGTGGGGGTTGAGGTGTTGCCCGGGGGCTTCACTTACTGATTGGGGCAGGGACACTGAACTGTGGAATCCTGGTAATAAATGCTTATTTCTGTACTTCGGTTGTGAGTTGTTTCTTATATCTGGTGCCCAGTTTAGCCGAGTCAAGAACATGCATAATTGTGGAAAGACTTACAAAATGGCTTTGATATGCACCAGAACGTCAGAGAGGTGCAAAGAGAAAATGAACAGAAGTGGGTGTGGTGGGTTGGGAGGGTCAGTTAGCACTTGTTTTTGTGATTGTTATCAAATTACTAACAAATTACTACCATTGTGCTGTTTTTCTGTGAATGTGTGTATATATAATGTGTTATGAATAATAAATTGTTTTCAATTTGAATATTTGTACATGTTATGTTTTTTATTAATCTTTAGAAAGCTCTGCTGGATATAACAATTTCAACATTAATTCACTTGTGAAACAATTGTAACCCAATATTGATTCAACATACACTAATTCAACATTAAATCAACGGATAAAGAAGTTGCCAAACAAGTGTTGAAACAACGTTGAATCCTAATCACAAATGGTCGATTTTTCAATGTTGGATAGATGGCCTTTACAACGAGCAAGATCAATGCTAAATCAGCATTGATGATCAACGTTGTTTAATATGTAATCGATGTAATTTCAACATATGTTTGCTATCTGGGTAAATGGTTCCACCGGAGCCTTTTGAGGGGAAGCAGGCATGGGATGAGGTGGCAGTGAGTGTGTCCTCATTTTCTAGCATCACCAGATCATCTGCGCAGTGCCAAAAGCGGTATGATGATATCAGAAGACCGGGAAAGCAGAAGCTCGCTGCTGAACAAGAGCAGGGGCTGGGAATGGGGTCTTAATTATACATGTGTGCTTTTAATTTAATTCTGGGTCTGCAGTTTTTAAAGTGTTTTAAAATGTTAAAATAAAAGGCAATGGGGCTGTTATTTTTCTACTCTAACAGTTCAGATTCCTTACCAGGCTACAGACGATTCAGCTCTTCTGCCTGCTGATCCCTCCTTACCCATGTTGCTGCTGGCGTGCTCTCCATTGTCGGCATCAGCACATGCAGTCAAGCAATTATTAATATTCCACCTGACTTAGCAAATATCTGAGACACATTTTCAGTAATCCAAATGTCCTTTTAATTACAGTGCGGGCTTAATTCCAATGAGGAACTCGAAAGATTTTTTTAATGATTGGTTTATTTTTTGCTTAATACATATATATTTTTTTGTTTGTTTCATTAAAGAGTACGATTACATGAAAGGACCAGATGTACCAGATGTACTCCATGAAAAATATATAAATCGACCGTCGACCGTGTACTTGTGTTAATTACGAGCGTGATGCACCAGCACCTCTCTAAAACAAGCCCCTTAAATACCGTTTAACAATGAAGCACAGAAAATCATGTTAAAGATGCAATATTTTATAGTTTTTTAAATCAGTAATAAGGCGTAATATACTTATGTCTGAAATTAAGTGGATAAAATCCTTTAAAATGTTTTGATAACACAGCTAAGGAAATGTCATTGCAGAGAAACAGGTATGCTTTTTAAACATTTCTTTAGGATTTCTTCTACGAAACTCCACAAACCAATTGTATCACTGCACAGAAGATACAAGTACGAGTAGCCCGGTGATACAAGTACAAGCAGTCCAGTGATAGAAGTATGAGCAGGTGATACAGTATGAGCAGGTGATACAGTATGAGCAGGTGATATTTCTGCAATGTGATACAAGTAGAAGAAAATAGTTTGTAGATTAAACTGCTCACTACAAAATCTGCGGATAATCTTCAGTAACTGGATCATGATTTCTAGTAAGAGACATCGCTGTTTTAAATATATTTTTGGTGCTGTAATCAACACAGAAAGAATGCCATTGAGTCCCATTATATTCAATAGAAGCCTGACATGTTTTAATATCTCCAAAACTAGGCAACTCCCAGAAGAACAAGCTAGATGGATAGATAGCATAGATAGCACTAAAGCCCCCCTAAAACATATCTGCTTTCAGTTTTGGGTTGAAATGCCCCTTTAAAGCCCAGCAGAGCAAGCTGGTGGTTATAATGACAAGGGAGCTTCTTCATTACCCGCCTCCCTCCCCCCCCAAATCCACACGCAGCCTTTGATCACAGCTGATCACATTCATGCTGGGAAGAGTCATCACATCTTAACAGATTCTCCAGGTCTGACTAGCTTTTATTTTGGCATCCTACACTTCTGGCACAGTAGATAGTCTTGCCTGCCCTGTAGCTTAATCAGTGAAGCAGCTGTTTACTTGCATTTCATCTACTGCAGTTTTTTATAAGGAGTTTCCTTTGCTTTTGTCACTCTCTGCCCTGATTCCCAAGCTTCCTTCATCACGTTTCCTGCTCTCTTCCCCACAGCTTCAGCTGCATTCCCTGCAGCCTCTTTTGGTTTGTCTGCTCTGGCTGCAGCTTTGGCTCCTTCAACCCCCCCTCCTATGGCTCCCGCTGCAGCCAAAACCCCCACAGCCACACCCACTCCTATTCCTGCTGCTGCTCCTGCCCCTAATGCCCCAACTGCCCCAGCTTCTGCCGCTGCTGCTCCTGCTGCCCCAACTGCCCCAGCTTCTGCCGCTGCTACTCCTGTTGTCCC